ACTTTGGAGTGGCCTAGTCAAAGTCCTGACCTGAATCCTATTGAGATGCTGTGGCATGACCTTAAAAAGGTGGTTCATGCTCGAAAATCCTCCAATGTGGCTGAATTACCACAATTCTGCATAGATGAGTGGACCAAAATTCCTCCACAGCGCTGTAACAGACTCATTGCAAGTTATCGCAAACGCTTGATTGCAGTTGTTGCTGCTAAGGGTGGCCCAACCAGTTATTAGGTTTAGGGGGCAAACACTTTTTCACACAGGGCCATGTAGTTTTGGATTATGTTTTCCCTTAATAATAAAAACCTTCATTTAAAAACTGCATGTTGTGTTCACTTGTGTTATCTTTTACTAATATTTAAATTAGTTTGATGATCTGAAACATTAAAGTGTGACAAACATGCAAAAAAATAAGAAATTAGGAAGGGGCCAACACTTTTTCACACCACTGTATATTTTATGCAGTATTTTCCAGATTTGCCATTTGAAATGTGATTATGCATTTATCGTTTTTATTAGTGGTGAAGCCATTGGTAGTGGAGGACACGTATCTGCTCTGTCCAGCTCCTGTTCTTCGAGAGGAGGGAACGTAAGTGTCCCAGAGAAATATTTGCACTTTCTTTCTAGTGGCAGAAATGTTACCTGTGCCTCATTAAGGAATGCAATGTAGTGTTTTCAAAGGATTTAAGTATTTTTTTTTATTATGTTTATTGCAGGGCAGCCTCCCTTTACGTTAGCATGAACGAAGGCTTGAGTTTTATCTCTAGTTCTGTTACTATCACCACTGTAAGCTGTGTAAGTATTATTCTAAATCATATTTTGTGCTTTATTACTTGTGTTTTACAACCAGTATTGGGGAAGCTACTGTACACTACTGTTCAACAGTTTGGTGTCAGTAAGATTTGTTTGTTTTTGAAGGAAGAGTCTTTGAACCAAGGTTGCATCAAAACCAGTAATATTGTGAAGTAATATTATAAATTAAAACTAGATGAGTAAAGTTTGTTGAGGCTGGCTTGAGAAAGCCTAACCTGAAAGTTTGAAGCAGTTGTAAAAGCTTGAAGTTTGAAAGTTTAGATTGCATGATTGAGCACATTACAATGTTGTTAGCGTGTTTTTATCATGATTAACATGTTAGAATTTTTATAGCATGATTACCATGATGCTAGCATGTTGCTAGTATGATTATTATGTTGCTAGCATGTTTTTATCGTGATTAGCATGTTGCTAACATGAAAGAAATCATTCTGATTTGCTGCTCACTAAACATATATTATTGTTATCAATACTGTAAACAGTTCTGCTACTTAATTAGGAGTGGAAAGTGTGTTTTTTTCAGGATTATTTGATGAAGGAAAGTTTGAAGAACAGCATGTATTTGAAATAGACATTTTATGTACCATTCTAAAAATGGTCAGTGTCACATTAGATTTTTTTTAACACGCTCTTGCTGATTAAAAGTATCAGTTTCTTTAAAAAAAGTAAGTAAATAAATTAATTACCCCAAAATTTTGATTTGTGTACCAAACCGCTTGATGTTGGAAGACGTAGCATGCTACTGGAGCTGCACTATTTTAAATATAGTTTGACTACTTTCATGCTACTTAAAATTATAATTACGTTAGGCTACTACCCAACATTTGAATTCATAAGGCTTGAAGCAGCAATATTATTCAAAATGATTCTCTAGCTAACAGCCATTGCTGTAGTGTTTTAGCTTTTGAAAAAGCAGCCAAATTACTGTGAAAAATGTGTCAAAGGAAAGTAAACAAAAGATTCTACAGGTTGGGAACTTTTGTGCAAAGGAAAACAAAATTACGATAAAAAATTATTAAAAGGATTGCTGGAGTGTTTCCTGTAAAGTGGTGCCAGTCAAAGCTCTTTAGAAGAGCACAATAGGTTTCCCAACAGACAAATCCAAAACCTTCCCACAAGCCAATGGGTTATGAGATCTCCCAGTGAGATCACTTGTAACTTAGTTCATCCCCTCGGTTAATTACCATCCCTTTCAGCATGCATCATCTTTTATTTTCATAGCGAGCACCCATTCATGCGCATAAGGAACTGTCTGTATGGTATTTTGATGTCATACACCGATCGGTCTGCTCATGCAAACAAAGCCAAAACCTAGATATTTTAGGCAATATAGAAATTCTGGCCAGGACGCGTCCTGGGAAAATTGCACATATGGTCACCCTAGATTAGCACATTAGCATGATGTCGGATAGTCATTAAGCTTCGCTGGTGATACACAGCTTAAACACTCTATAAGTGTTATTGTACACAAGTTTTGACCCCCTCAATGAAAGAAAATAAAAGATATAGCAACCTGAGTCAGACAAGTCTGAAGGCCTGACCTGAGTTTGGTGATTGTAGCTTCACAACTCTAGGAGGAGATACAGTCCAAATTTAGTCTCAGAAGAAGAAGAAGAAAAAGAAATTATTCTGATTTGCTGCTCACTAAACATATATTATTGTTATCAATACTGTAAACAGTTCTGCTACTTAATTAGGAGTGGAAAGTGTGTTTTTTTCAGGATTATTTAATGAAGGAAAGTTTGAAGAACAGCATGTATTTGAAATAGACATTTTATGTACCATTCTAAAAATGGTCAGTGTCACATTAGATTTTTTTAACACGCTCTTGCTGATTAAAAGTATCAGTTTCTTTAAAAAAAGTAAGTAAATAAATTAATAATTACCCCAAAATTTTGATTTGTGTACCAAACCGCTTGATGTTGGAAGACGTAGCATGCTACTGGAGCTGCACTATTTTAAATATAGTTTGACTTCTTTCATGCTACTTAAAAATATAATTACGTTAGGCTACTACCCAACATTTGAATTCATAAGGCTTGAAGCAGCAATATTATTCAAAATGATTCTCTAGCTAACAGCCATTGCTGTAGTGTTTTAGCTTTTGAAAAAGCAGCCAAATTACTGTGAAAAATGTGTTAAAGGAAAGTAAACAAAAGATTCTACAGGTTGGGAACTTTTGTGCAAAGGAAAACAAAATTACGATAAAAAATTATTAAAAGGATTGCTGGAGTGTTTCCTGTAAAGTGGTGCCAGTCAAAGCTCTTTAGAAGAGCACAATAGGTTTCCCAACAGACAAATCCAAAACCTTCCCACAAGCCAATGGGTTATGAGATCTCCCAGTGAGATCACTTGTAACTTAGTTCATCCCCTCGGTTAATAACCATCCCTTTCAGCATGCATCATCTTTTATTTTCATAGCGAGCTCCCATTCATGCAACCATTGTTTGAACTGGAGATTGAACAACTGACATCATCTTATTGTTCCATTGCATTTTCCAAATGCTTTTCTGCATGTCATTTGGATTTGCTGTCATAACAAAAAACAGTCCCACTCAGAGAAGTGTTCATATCTGTTTCTACCTGCAGTCTGATGGTACGATCCTGGCCATAGCGCTACTGATAGTGATGCTACTGCTGATTCTGGCTCTCCTCTGGTGGTTTTGGCCACTCTGCTGCACAGTGGTGAGTCCTGCATGGAAAATCTTGAGTTTACTTAAATAGAAGTCCTGCTACATATTAGGACTTATGCGCAGACCTGCACGAAATCTGCATCTGCAGAATTACACAGAAAACTCGATGTATCTTATAGCCTGGGGTGTGTTTCCAAAAAGCACCAACTATGGTCACAAGTTCCATCGTTACCAACACAGTTCAACGAATCAGTGTTTCCTCAAATCATAGTTTCAGCAAGCATTCATAAACTTGCGTGGTCGGAACTACAGCTCTCATTGGAAGAATCGTTTTTTGTTAGTATGACATTTGGACTTGATGAGTATGCATGTGCACAAGTCTGCAGGGGAAACTTGAAGGAGTATGACATAAGAGGGAACCCACGATGGAATCAAACATCTGGAAATAAAGCAAAACTATAGAGAAACCAAAGTGGCAAAGTAGTCCTCAGATGCCATGTTAATTAAATACAGGAATAATCAAAATTATTATTACTTCACCACCTGCATGATGTCATTAACAATAGTTGTATATTGTTGAAGCAGTGTGGTTTGAACTGCGGATTTGCAACAAAGTTACTAAGATTTCAGGAAGCAGTTTTGACTAGATAGTTTATTCCTTTAATTATGACTATGGTCATAGTATGACATAATCAGAGAGTTATGTCGTTGAATAGGAAATATACCACTGGTCTCATGGGATCACAAATTTCTGCTAAATCTGAGGGTTACACTTTATTTCATCCACTTCAGGCATTCTACTAACTATGAGCATCTTTGCATCTACATGTCAACTAACACTCATTAGAGTGTTAGCATATTAGTAGACTGTTAGGGCTTGGGTTTGTAGAATAAGTTAACATGTAGTTGCAAGGTTAATTATAGTCAGTAGTTTATGTTGTGGGACCATCAAAATAGAGTGTTAGCAGATATTAAGCAGATAGTCTACTAATGCTCTAATGACTGCTAGTTGACATGCAGTTGCATAATTACTTATAGTTTACCTAACTTGTTTTAAACTTACTATTAAATGTACCATATTGATATAAAAAAACCAAAGGAGATGAAAATATATTCCATTTTTTAAATCAACATCATAAAATGCATTAAACATACATTAAACAAGGGTTTCCCAAACTGGGGTTAATGTATAAGAACTTTCACAGCTATACATCACCAGTGTTTAGTAACATGCATAATTATTTGTTTCATGGTCTAATTGCTTGGGAGGTGTATTTTTCACCCAAATTCAAAGCATGGTTTGCACATGATTTTTTTTTACATGACATCTACATGATCATTCTATATTGTCAATAGAGTCAAAGTTCAATGGTATGACACACACAGAGCAGGGTGGATTACTTACCAATTGTAATTCATTACTGATTCCAAATTACATGACCAAAATTGTAGAAGTAATCCATTACATTACACATTTCAGGTAATATAAAAAAATAATGTGAATTTGTACTTTTTAATGTGTTTGAAAGGCAAAAACCTTCCAATGACATTGTAATAGATGGTTAAATAACCTACCGAGTGATGATTTAAATAAACATGTGTTCATCAGTAGTTGATGCAATGTTGAAACACTTCTTAAACCGACGAAATCTGCATCTGCAGAATTACACAAACTCGATGTATCTTATAGCCTGGGGTGTGTTTCCAAAAAGCACCAACTATGGTCACAAGTTCCATCGTTACCAACACAGTTCAACAAATCAGTGTTTCCTCAAATCATAGTTTCAGCAAGCATTCATGAAAACTTGCGTGGTCGGAACTACAGCTCTCATTGGAAGAATCGTTTTTTGTTAGTATGACATTTGGACTTGATGAGTATGCATGTGCACAAGTCTGCAGGGGAAACTTGAAGGAGTATGACATAAGAGGGAACCCACGATGGAATCAAACATCTGGAAATAAAGCAAAACTATAGAGAAACCAAAGTGGCAAAGTAGTCCTCAGATGCCATGTTAATTAAATACAGGAATAATCAAAATTATTATTACTTCACCACCTGCATGATGTCATTAACAATAGTTGTATATTGTTGAAGCAGTGTGGTTTGAACTGCGGATTTGCAACAAAGTTACTAAGATTTCAGGAAGCAGTTTTGACTAGATAGTTTATTCCTTTAATTATGACTATGGTCATAGTATGACATAATCAGAGAGTTATGTCGTTGAATAGGAAATATACCACTGGTCTCATGGGATCACAAATTTCTGCTAAATCTGAGGGTTACACTTTATTTCATCCACTTCAGGCATTCTACTAACTATGAGCATCTTTGCATCTACATGTCAACTAACACTCATTAGAGTGTTAG